TGTATCCTCATTTTCCCAAAACATCCTGCAGCTTTCTTTCTTTTTTAATTCCCAGAGATGTTTTCTCTGCATAACAAACACAGAAACAAGCCAGTCATGATGCAGACTGCTGATCAGATCCAGGAAGTTGGACACCATTTGTATGCACTGCGTCAAAAAAGAACAAAAGAAAGATCAAATATTCAATTACCAGTTATTTATCCTCTCTCTTGTTCTGAATAACTTTAAACTTTGCTTGTGATTTGTATTTACATCGGTTTCTCATGAGTCCTTAGTCCTGATGACTTAAACACCTCTCCCTGACCTCTTCGCTTCAGCAGAGTCCCTGGTGTCCCATCAGCGCTGCTAACATTTAAATCACTGTCACAACATGAGCTACAGCTCCTATAATATTCCCATGGTTGCTTTTGGGTGATTGCATGTGTTCAGGAGCAGTTTGTTATTCCCTGGTGTTAAGCAAATATGCTGCTTCATCGTTAGTTCCTGTCATTTTGCTGCTTTCTGTCTGGCTGCTCGAGGCCATCTCTGCTTTTGTTGTGGATTCACATTGCAGTCGTTTTATTCTACGCATTTTTAAAATGTTTTAGATTTAACTTCATGCCTTCTACTTTTTTAACAGTTGTGTAACTTAAAGGAAAACTAGCCAAACTGATGTCTGATATCTTTTGATGTTATTAGCTGTTAAAGGCCTCAGGAATTCATTATTGTTTGAGCCTTGTTGTGTAAAAATGAGTTTAACAACATAATAAGGATGATTAGTTGCCAGAGAGACACTGCTGTGTTCTAATATATGTTCCAACACAGACCAGATGACTCAGAGTAGCCACATTATTCCATGATTAACTAAATATGACTTAGACAGAAAATAGTCTGTTAAACACGGAAATCTACACACGCAGGTGTTGAAAAGCATGTTTATTTAATGGAGATGGAGGAATATTAGCTGCAACTGACTTCCTGGGATCCTTCAGGAGGCAGATGGAGAGAGTTCAGATGTTGAGGATTTATTTAGCAGCTCAAAGACTTCCTATCTGAAGAAAATGTAGAATAATTATGTTCTGGTTGTGTGTGTGATCAACAAGATTCTGAGGAGGTGGTCGATGAGTCGTGAGAACGTAAACAGATTTTGTAAAACATCATGACCAGATGAACAAATGTTTTGTTTTTTATGATTCCTCATGCAGCTAAACACGGTGGCTCAACATTAGAACGGGTGAAATTATAAAAATGATTGATACCCTCAGAAAACATCAACTGATCGATTCTGGCTCATGATTTCACTTCAGTCAAAAGACGCATGACTGAAACGGATTGATGTGTTTTAGGGTTTAGAAACTTCTGTGAGGGATTGTTTCTTGACTATTTTACTCAGCAGTGTGGTTTCTAGATTCAGTTTGGTGTTTTGAATGAAGAAAAGGTCACCATGGAAACACCCAGAGAAGACCCAGATGGATGTTTAAAATTGGACACCCCTCAGAGTTTCAGGAGTCAGGCTGTCAGCCGGGAGCGGCGCGGGGGGGGGGGGGGGGGGGGGGGGGGGGGGTGTTAGTGGTGAGCTGCTTGATGAAGCACGTTTAGCCTGAAATATGAATGCAGCAGCTGCAGCGTTTCCACAGCAGCACCTGTCTCCATGGTGCTGAGCTGTCCACATGCCTCTGTGTCAGTGCATGCATGTCAGAGGGACGGACACACACACACACACACACCACTGGCATGTACAGAGTCTAAAGCCACCTGACTCCCAATTCTGTGTTTGAAGAGTGCATCTTCTAGCTTCTTCGGTGACTCTCCCATCACTGAAATATGGAGGTTTTTGTAACCATGACAACCATGGTGGAGGGAGTGTATTAGCTCATCTGCACTGGGGGGGGGGGGGCTGTGTTGCTGTGTCTGCCTATAAAGCAGGTTTTTGGATTATTTCTGAATGTGCTTTTCAGGGGTGGGGGAGGTGCCCTCCAACCTCCATTAAAATCACAAAAATTGTTTAATTGTGTTTTTAGATTCTGTTTTTCCTGCTGTATATGTGTGGGGGTCAAATTCTCCATCCTGATCTCAAAACTCCCCAAAACATCACACTCATCCTTATTCCTCAGTTTATTATTCCCAGCTTCATTCCCGTCTCCCCCCTCCTCCCCCTCCCGTCTGACTTCCATCCTTCCAGCTGAGAAAATAGGCTCGGAGAGCTCTTGGCAGAGGAGATGAAGCGAGAGAGAGAGTAAGAAAAAGGAGGAAAGAAGGGCGCTTTTTAGATGAAGAGAGAAAGAAAAGAGTTTAAAGCCTTGAAAGGAATCATTGTGCTCTTCCCCCTCATTGCTACAGCTTCATCATTTAGCCGAGCCAGCAGCCAGCACATTACTGCGCCGCTTTAAATCAGCGCAGCGTTAGCCGTAGCAACGCTCAGGCTCCAGAGCTTCAGCTCCTTTATGGCCTCCTCCTCTTCCTCGCTCAGCCAAAGACCACTGGGATCATTATTAACCCAGTCTGATGGGCACATTCCTCTCAGCTGGAATAATAAATAAAAACAGACTCTTTGGGAAATGTGTGTGTGTGTGTGTGTGTGTGTGTGTGTGTGTGTGTGTGTGTGTGTGTGTGTGTGTGTGTGTGTGTGTGTGTGTGTGTGTGTGTTTAGATTTAAAAGTGAGACTGACTGGATAGAGCACATGGACTGCATGTTTCCAACCCAATCCCTGGATGTTATTTGATGTTTGATGTTGTGCAGAAGTGTCAGCGAGTATTTTTAGAGCCGACTGAGCAAGCCAAAGGAAACGCAGGCTTTCATTCCTCTGTTCACTTTTTACAAAGCAGACTTATGCAACCTGGCCTCCAACTTTAACTCTCCTTTTCTGTCTCTCTTTCACTTTCATTCCTAATCTTCCTGAAGCATGTCACCCGGATTTATTTAATCTGACAGTGATTTTTCTGTTAAAGACCCGGTTGAGCTGGGCTTTGTCCCCGGCTGTGGTTCCAGTGTGACCATGCACAGAGTGGGTCTCTGTCCTCCAACATGTGGTGACCCAGAGACAGCTGCAGGATGGGAGGAAGAGGGGGAGGGAAGGGAAGGGAAGGAGAGACAGGAAGCAAATGGAGGAGGATGAGGGGGCAGATTCCTTCTTCAGCTCTCAGTAGTTAAAAAAAATAGTAGAACTGGCGGGGAAACTCACTTCCTGTCCCGCCACTAGCATGCATGACATCACTTCCTCCTCTGACAAATCAGAGCCGTCCAAGCCTGAAATGAGGGGTTTGTCTCCTTGTTTAGGTCATCTACTGAATGGGAAACGATTTGTGTTGTCATCAAATGAAGCAAATTAGACCAAACTGAAACAAAATGCATTTCAGAAAACGTGTCTGTGGGTGTGGCTTCTTGTCACAGAGCGTTGGGATTTCATGATGAAGGAAGTGATGATGGCGTTTCTTCTGTCTGGTGTCCAGCCTGTCTGGCTAATGCTGTTACAGCACACATGAGCTTCTTTGTCACCACGCAGTCCTTTCTCAGGTCAGCCCTGCTGCGCATCACTAGATAGTTGTTTTTTGTCTGACTGTATTTTTGTCACCCTTGTGTGTGTGTGTGTGTGTGTGTGTGTGTGTGTGTGTGTGTGTGTGTGTGTGTGTGTGAGAGTTAATCAGCAGGAATGTGGTTCGTTGTGTTGAATACAGAGGTAATACCAGAACAATCTACTCTTTCTGCCCTACTGGGGGAAGGGGCTGATGCATGCTCAGCTGATTTGTCATTCCGTGACATCACGCCTAATAATTAATTAATCATGTCCCCTTAATTTCTGGGTACCTCTGTAGTTTCCTGTGATTGTTACCCAGAATAAGATCACTCAGTAAATCCAAATGTTTTTTTACGCTTCTGACTCATCTATTTGTGTCTCTATGAGGGAAATGCTTCCGTGCTTCCTGCATACGTCCGTCTGCGTTGCCAGGTCTGACTAATGCTGGAGCAGCAGCCAATAACAGGCTCTTCATAGTTCTGTAATGAATATGTGTAGAGGAAAAAGGACATCCAGCAGCTGGGGCTGACAGTTGTCGTGGCAACTGTGTAATGCATCTAGAGAAGGTTGAAAAGAGGCAGCCATTTTGGATATGTGAGTCTGTAGTGATTGATTTTGGAAAGCTGGAGAGTCGAAGAGAGACTTGTTTAATTTAGAAAGTCAAAGTAAATAACTCTGATGCTAGTTTATTGTCCCTTTTATCAGACTATAAAAGGTTCAGCTGCATCAATCTCTTGCAGGTCTGTAACTCGTTGACTTCTAGGACACCCGTGCTCGTGTTAGTCCCAACATTTCACTGAAGCATGAAATCAACTAATCTGGAAATAAAAGCAACTAAACTAAAAAGTACAAAAATGAGGATTTTTGAATAGAAGGAAGTATTATTGCCTTAATATTAATAATATGTTTACATTCTTAGCATAATAACAACTCAAATACATTATCCATGTAGCCAAATAAACATCATTACTAAGATCATCTCCTTCCCCACAGTCTTTGTGTTCCTTCTTCCTTCCCTCCTACATCTGCAGTCTTCTGCTTCTTTTGTTTGGCTCTGTGACGTCCTGTGGCCTATTTATAGGGACGTGTTATTGTGTAAGCAAGGCACAGAGAGCCTGGGCTGGCTACCATGATCCCTTTGGTAGCACCAGGATGAGCAATGGGTTTTCTTATTGTCATCATGCATCATCTCAAGATCCTGTCATGAACCTCACACTGCCAGATGATCCATAACTCCTGTGTGATTAAGGATCAGATGGTGAAAAATGCTCTCTCCAACATGAATTTAACCAAAGCATCTTCATTTCATACTGTTTCTCACCTCGTTCCACCTTTCCTAAAGGTTTAAACCCAAACAGATGAACTAGACAAGTAATTAAAGATTTATGAGTTAAAAAAACACACAATTCAGAGATTAATTTAGATCCCACTGCATATTAGATCAGTTGGATCTCAAATTTTGAAAATAGGAATATAATTAATATGAAAAAATAACCCAAAAAGGCATTTAAAGTTTTTTTATATGATTTCTTTTTATTTGAAATGTCAGTGTCCAAGAGAAAATAAAACAGAAATATAAATATTAGCATAAAAATAAGAGCGTAACACAAGAAGTGAAGCATGAAGAGGGGAAAAGCATTTTATAAGAAAGATAATACAGCAGGATAGAGTAGTATTAATTCAGCAGCGGACGGACTCACACATATAATATTTATAATCATTTGTTCATATGGACAGAAAGAGAGAATGAGAGGCATTATTTCACAAATGCACAAGAGAGAAATCACTGCAAAAATAACATTAAGATGTTACAGAGGGATAGAAACATTTCCATATTCTTTTTTTTCTTTGTCTTCTTTCTTTACGAGGTGATAAACGATAATAAAGAGGAAATAAACACAAAAATATGCGCAACAGATAACACAAGTTATATCTAGTCTACGTGTGTCACTTTTTTTTTTTTTTTACTTATCTAAAGTTATCTTTAATTCATTTATTTACACTGACGAGTTAGTTGGCTTCCTTGGTGCTTAGTTACTACATTGCAACACAAACTCTTGGAGAACATGTCAGTTTTTTTGTTTATTGTTGATCTAGTTTTTTTAAGTGTGGGTTTTTTATTTTCTTGAAAAACAAAATGCAACACATTCCAGTAGTAAGCCACGCCTTGTTGAGAGGGACTTTCATTGTGAAAATGTCAGATGAGGTCCCTGCGTTTGCAAACACTTGGCTCGTACTATCGATCTGACTTGTGTTTATTTACAGGTGGGGGGGCCGAGGCCTCACAGAGCCAGGTGGGGGTGGGGGGTGCAGGCAGGTGAGAGGCAGAGAGGACCAGAATTCTCGTTCATTTCAGTAAAGGAGATGCTTGAGAGCTGGGGTGGCTGTGCTTGTTGACCTCCACCTGGGTCAGTGCTTTAAGGGTGGGCAGGCCAACTGCGGGTCCTCTGTACATTCAGTGAGTAGAGCCAAAGTTGCATCCCACCCTTCTCTGGTGCCGCCTCAGTCCTTTAGCTTGTCACTGACCCCCCCTGATTCCCACCTGCAAGCTGCCTTTTACTTTCATGCAGTTTAACCTGGCGAGAAGCTTGACAGACGGATGGACGGCAAATCAAAGACTTCATATTTTAAACAAACTGCATTACACGACTGAACTAAGGTCTCCCAACAGAAAAGAAAGCAAGAATGTACGATGTCACATCAAGATATTTCTTCAGCACCTTGAGAAAGTGAAGGAAAGTCTCCATCAAGGCCCTACAGGTTTACAAAGTGTTTAGAAAGTCCTATGCACGTAAGTTTACCACATCTATTTATCCCTAAAGACAGAAGTGATTACAACCCTGACTCTTCTACTGGTTATGGACAGTGCATTTCTCTTAGATTGGCTCAAACCATGGAGGGACTGGTGAGGGAAGGGTACGAGCGGGGTGTGAGGAAGAGGAGGGCAGCAGGACAGTACTACACCCATCCTAGGTGGTACACTGAGCTGGCGTGGCTAAGGCCAGCCCATTCCTGTGGGTGCATGCTCGGGTCATAAAAAATATCAGATGATTAATATCTTATACTTTTTAAAATCTTTTTAAAACTATGATTACAAAAGTAATTCATTCTGTGTCAAGTAAATGCTTATGTGAGCATTATGTTGACCTTGGATTGGCGGGAGGAACTTGGATCCAGGATGTCCTCCTCTTTCCTTTTGCAATGCATAGTTTGCAACTCTAAACTAGTGTAAGTGGTTTGAACCTAAATGAGCATGCAGAAGAAGAGTCTGTAATACCTGTTCAACATCAGCCGTAAGCTAAGGCCGACCCTTATGGAGGAGGAGAGTGGATGGCAACCAGCGTACTTTACAAAAGTCGACTTTCCCTCTGCGGGAGAGCGCAACAATAAATCCAACATGAGAGACATTAACATTTCATCTCTGAATACATCGTTGTGTGTGGCCTTGTCATCCCAGCAAGGTTCATTACACTCAATCTCTTTGTCCACCAGATTTTTTTTGTTTTTTTGTTTTTGTTGAAAGAAAAGAAAAAAAAAAGACAAAACAACGGTAACCCCTCATACCCTGCCAAGAATATCTACCCACAAAGATTACATGAACATTACTAGACTGAAGCATAGCATGGGTTAATAATGAAAACCTCCAGCACATTTGGATTCTTCTACAACCTTTCAGAGAACCATCAACAGCGTCCATGTGACAGCAGAGCAGTGAGATACCTAATGGGGGGGTGTGGGGGGTTCTCATCACATCATCATCCCTTCACCTCTCTCCGTCCACGTCTACTTCTTCTCCTTCTTGGTGGACTTCTTCTTGGAGGCAGGTGTCTGGGCCGCTTTCGGGGGTTCAGCCTGGGCGGCGGCCTGAGGCGGGGGCAGCGCCTGCTGCGTAGCCTGCTGGGCCGTGGCCTGCTGCTGCTGCGGGTTGGAGGTGAGGGTGGCCGTGCTGCCGGGGATGTAGACGTTCTGGCGATAGTCAGGCACGTGCTGCAGAGTGAACTGGGGGCTGTAGCGGGTGCTCAGCCCCATGGTGCCGGGCCCGAGGGTGGCCGTGGCCTCACTCACTTCTGGGGAGAACAGAGACAGAGTTGGGGGTGTGAGGGAGGGTGGAGGGACAGGGGGGGGGGGGGGGAAGAGGAGTGAAACGTGTTAAGGTGCTGGAAAGTCTCACAGTGGCAGTGTTAAAATCATGAAGCAAAGCACAAACGCATGAGAAGCTTCTAAAGGTGAAAACATCAGGAAGAAAACTAAAGAGAAAAATGCATCAAGCTGAAATGAGAGCAGAGTGAAAGAAGAGGTGGGACTGTGAAGGGATCCGTTTGTGTTAGTGGAGCTCCACTGAGCATGCTCTGTGTCTGAGTGCATGACGTAGGTGCTCAGCTCATAACTCTCTCACAGCCCCTGCATTGCAGAGCCAGAGACTCTACACACACACACACACACATGCAGGACAAATGGTCCGTTACTGAAAGCAACAAATATCTCTAGTCGTTGAGTCCTGCCAGTCAAGTCAGCTATGCTAAACCAGAACAGATGACCTTCAGTGTTCATCACATTAGCTGCTAACCCTTCCTCTCCCTCCATGATAGATGAGTAACTATTAATGCAGTCCAGCCCTGTGCTGGCATTAATCTCACTCTGCCATAGAAGCAGACTCTCCATCTTGCTTTTTCATCCAGTGGGAAAAATTCCCTGCAACATACCGAGTCATGTCTGAGAAGGGAGTGAACGTGTTTGTCAAAGGAAGGAGATATGGTGTGTTGAAACACTGGAAACAAATGCTTGAGCCTGTTATGTCATTAGTCTGGTTGAGTTTAGTCCTTAATCTATTCTGATCGGTTTGCTCTGCATCTTTTTAGCTAGCATTGTGACTATTTTCCAGGGCGATGCCTGAAGATGACTCGCTGCATGTGCGTGCCCTTCGTCTGTTTGGCAGACCTTCGCTGGAGCACCAGAGGAAGAGGAGGATGTGAGTTGTAGATTAATAAAAGGGTCATGTGTGTCCTTGTAGCTGTGCTTGTGATCAAACCTTTCAGCATGTGACGAGTGGACGGTGGAAACACATGTCTCCGTCATGTTTTTAAAGTCAACACATCAACTGTAAGGCAGGTAGTGATGTCCGGTGTTTTGGTTATTGGAATGGAAATATCAATGTGGACAGAGAGGAACATATCAATGAATGAGTCTGGCTTGTTGCCCTGCAACAAAACGGGAAGCTGCACAAACAACCTCCCACGCATCCATGAGCTTGTGCAGACAAATGCATCCTTTAGGAAGAGACAGGAAGGAGGAAAACGATGACCCACCGTTCGCAGCAGCCATCAGTGCCTGAAGCTGCTCTGCTTCAGTAGGGGGCTGGGGCCATGGGCCAGTTCCCATGGCAACCTCAGGTCCTCCAGTTGCCCTGTAGAAACAATAAGGATGGGCACAACTTAAAAAAACAGGATTTAAACCTTGCAGGCTTAAGAGTTTAAGGTGTAAAGGCAAAGCAGCTGATGAAGGACTCAGCAGAAACAACAAGAAGGATGTAGTCTGCAAAACCATCTAAAAATAAATAAAATAAAATAAAAATGCCTTTTTACGGAGTGAACAAATGCATCAGCTCACAGCAGCTAGCGTGTCGGCGCATTCGGAGTACAACTGGTATGCTTGGGAGCACAGGACCTTCTAGTAAATCTGATTAAATATTTAATGACTCCACCTTTAAAGGAAATTTCAATCTGCGTAGTCACACACACACACACACACACACACACACACACACACAGTGAGCGCTGAACATTTCCATCTGGGCAGACTTCACCTTCAAAGGCTGCTTTATTTACTGCTGCAATTTGCATGTGGGGCTAACAAGGGAGATGTGATGGAGTATGCTCAGTCAAACAACTCTCACATGCTGCAAATCAGCATAAGCTCTACCAACAACAACTAGGTCACAATGCCTTAATCCCATCTCTGCTGCTGTGGCCAAAGAGAAACTAAATCATCCATTTTTAGATGTTTAGAGGCAACAGAACCTCTTAAGCACTGATGACGTCTCATGTCCCTGCATTAGTGGTACCACACAAATACGAAGAACTGGGTTTCAGTGTGTGCAGCATGCTAGTTGGTTTATGTTGGAGGTAAAAGAGGTTAGAAGTAAATGTGGAAAGGAGTGAATGTAATGAAAAGGGTTATAGAGAGGTCAATGCTCTTTATATATTTTTGGTTCTTGATAAAGCTTCATGCACTTGTGCAGCACAGCCCCGACTAATCAAACAGACTGACTTAGACTTTGTGACAGAGAATACTTCTATGTCTGCTGATATCAGGCCTTAAATCGGCTTTCTCCCTGCTTTCCAGGAACTTAAACAAAAAGCACTTACAACTTTATGTCAGACACCATCTTCAAATAATCTTAACTGCCTAAAACCTTTGCACATCAGATAGCGTTACAACTCCACTGAGGCCTAAACAGGAACTCTTTTGTATCCCAAACACCCCCAGACCAACCAGTCTTCTCCAGCGATTCAAGAGAAGGCAAAAGACAAACTGAGACAAAGTGGAAAAGGAATTCTAAGACAAAAACTAGATCCCCGTTGAAGCAAAGGTTGCCAGTTTGTTGTGCCAGAACTCTGAAGTGATTCTGGGTTTGATGCCAGAGAGAAAACAGAGGGAGAGAAACACGTAGGTCCTGTGCCAGGCAGCCAATGAGGAACAGACTAAGTCAGGGCAGACATTTTGTAGCTCTTCACACAACTGAAGATTAAAGTAAATGCATCATTTATGCTGAATCAGCATCTACGGTGGCTTATCACATCCTGATATTTAGTAGAACATTTCCTGTGGTCGGGCTTATCACTTCCTGTGGGCAGCACTGCACAACAAGGACCTGACAGGGCCATCATTTCTTCCTCTGTAATGTTTTGTCCCTGCTAACAGCTCCTCTTCCTCTTCTTTAGATAATCTTCACCGCATCATTTGCAAACTAGTTCCTTCAACTTCCTTTGCTTTCATCGTAGATCACATAGAAAAAGCTGCATGTGGTGATGTTGAGCTACAACCATCACAGACACACATCAAAGGCGACACTGCATGGCGAGCAAACCTCAGAGGAGGAGAGGAGAAGGAGGAGCTTCCAGGCTTATAGCACACATATAAGGCACAACAAGTCTACAGAACACGGCACGCAAACGTGTCACACGTCTTTCTATGCCACAGCAGGCATTGTGGCCTATAAATGCACATCGATCGACAACAAACCCCATCAAACTTTTAGGGAGACTATCAGAAGCTATGGGTTAGCTACATCTACACACAGCACAGCACTCAACTGCAGTGCACTACCTCGGATAGTTTGGTCACTCCCGGCCCTCATCCGTGTTCTCTCTGACAGGATGAATGGATGAAATGTGAACCCTGATCGAGGACAGAAAGTGACCAAAGTGTCAAGGTGTCAAGGTCTAAGCTGGTACCTTGTCCCATTCTTCGGCGTCCATCGTATGTGTGTACCGTATGGCATGTGGGGACTAAAAACACAACAAGTTATACAGCCTGAAACAACATTTTGCTCTACCTTTTAGAGACAAATGTGTTGAATCTGTGGTACATTTGCCAGTTCATTGAAGAAAATTCTATTTTTTGTTTTTATATAATTCTCGTAAACTGAGCTGAAATCTCCAAACTGCAGTGTCTTGTGTATTTCTGGCAGTAGAGGGTTTTATTTATTTATTTATTGCCCAGGTAAAAGTTTCACTTCTATAGCATGGTGAGCTATCTCTAGTGCTGCACACAACCCTTTTCAACCCAAACAGCATGAGAAACACACATGCTCACTAAACCACAAAAAAAAAAACACCTCATCTGCTGCAAAGACTGGTCAAATACATCCACTTTTCTGCATCAAATGGAGAAAAAGCAACGGATAAGCACAGCCCCCTCCAGCTCTGGTCACCATCCCTCATCAGCAGTACTGAGTGATGGCGCAGAGGCTCGGGGAGCGCGGAGAGGAGAGGAACAGCAGAGGAGGGGGAGGGGAGTGGAAGCTGCGGCAGCCATTTTATAAAGCAGCCTGAAAACAGGCAGAGATTCAGGAGCCTGAACACACTCAGAACTATTATTTACACAAATTCAGCCGTTTTTGACTCTATGACATCACTTGAAGTCATGATTAAAACCTTTTTCATTATAAATTCTTTGCTTTTTCCTCATTTCTCCTTTTTCTATCTGCCGATGAACAACAACATAGTCACTGGGTAAATTAATAAGGAGTGTTTCTGCTGACTCACCCACTTGGTCCGGGTCTCTGTCCCTGCGTAAATCGCCAGTCGTTGTTGGGAGGCTTTTGCTGTGAGAAGAAAACAGAGGATGCAACATTAAACGGATGTTTCACCGCGGCAGCAAGATGTTCCTCACATGCTCGTGTGTGTGTGTGTGTGTGTGTGTGTGTATTTGCTTCATAGCTGAGACATCTGAATGTGATGATGATAAAGACGTGTGTCCCTTTTGTGGGGTTTAGAAAACAGGAGGCTCAACAAAGAGTTACAGATGGCCTCAGATTTCTGTGTCAGGCATCCCTGCTGCTCTGAGAGCTGCGGGGGCAAATCTAGCGCTGCACGGAAGAATATAAATCACATAAGGAGAGGAAATGTGTATTATAACCCTGTATTATTTGTTAAAAACAGAAAGGTAGACTGTCAGGAAGTAAACTAGATGATTATTCAAGGAGTCTTTAAACTGCCAGACAGGAAGTAGCACCATGATAAACAGGATGTCCACAGGTTTACCGGTATATAGATGCGCCAACTATCAAGTAGAAAGGTTGAGATAAAACCATGGCATCTTAAAAGAACAAATGTTTTATACACAAACTGGAAAGTGGAAGTCCTCCGATATTAGGCTGAAACAAGAACTCCACAAACTACAGGGATTGATCTAAATAAAGATAAAGGCATCTCTACTCCGAATGTATTCTCAGCCGCTCCCATCTTGTCCATCTCCACCTCACTGCTCATGTCACCCTCCTGCTCTTCCCTCCTCTCTCTGACTCTCTTATTGTGCACTGATGCGGTGAATAAATAAGTCTGGCTCGGCTCCAGATTCTGCTACCTAATCGACACGAGAGCTCCCCAGAGGGAGAGGCCAGCAGCCCGATGGGCTGCATTATTAACAGAGCTGTCCGACTGGAGGGAGACGAGCTTTGAATCCGCCTTAAAATTCCTGCGCAGAATGTAAAGAGAATCTGTTTATTATCATGACTGGAGTTTATGATGGATGTGCCAGTAAGTCGAAAACAAAGTAGTCCAAATAAAAAATGCCTGGTTTAAGATGAAAGCCACTTTTTTCCTCCTTTACAGCAGAACTCGGCTTAAAAAAAAGACCAACGAAAGATGAGAAAACGATCAGGACACATCCGCATGGAAGCAAACGTCCACAGAAAGAGGCCCAGCATTCCTGCCGAGTGATTCGCTTTCCACCACACTCACACACACACACACACACTGGTTCTTTAGATCTCTCTACAGGACAGGTGTGTACAGGAAGCACCCTGTAAGACCTGCTTTTGGATAATATTGCCAGTAAGTAATTGTTGCTCACAGATATCCATGCAGATATTTAGTAGTAAATGAAGTGGCAGTTTTACTAGGTTGAAGCGTTAAAAGTATTCTAGTCAATCTCCATCTAAGGGGGAGAGGATGAGTCAGATAAACATGTTGCCCAGTTGGTTCAGATTTTCATCCCACAGACAGATTATCAGACTGACCTGGAAGCTTTAAAGCCTGCAGTCTGTTTTCTATCCATGTTTCAGCTGAATCAAAGAGCTCGCTCGGAGACGTCTCCACATGAATTACACTGTTGCTCCATAAAGTGTGTCAGCTGAAGGACTAGCATGTGCAGGGTGGGATTTATCAGGGTTTATGTTAAACTGATCAGCAGAATGACACACTTGGAAACTATCCAGTGTGTGAGCATGTGAAAATAATCTGGTGGGCACACATGAATCCAGATAAACCAGAGTTAAAGCAGCTGGATGGTATTTTCTGAGACAGAGAAATGCTGAGGATAAGCAGCACACACAACATAAATCTAGAAACGTTATGAATAAATTCAGTTTTCAGAAATGTGCTCCAGTAATGTTGGTGGTAAACCCACCAGGACTGTACCACAGCCTATTAAAGACAAGTAAAGCAAGTGACTTTGCATAAAGAGGTGTTATAATAACACTTACATCAGCATAAACCATCAGAATGGTTTAGTGAATCATACCCAGAAGATTTTTGGTGTTTTGCATGTGTCTTGTTTGGTTACCAGTCTCCTCGTTGCCATTTTTCAAAAATCTTTTCAAAAGTTACGGCAATTTTTCATCAAAACATTTGAAATTTAGTAGCGTGAAACCTTTTTTTCAGCGAACTTCTCAGCAGATTTCAGACTTTTTAAAGAGTTTTTACACTGAAAGCTGTGAAAACAACTTATATTCTGAAAGACTGCAGCTTTTAGGCACATTTACACATTTCTCTTTGCTTAAGGGTTTAAAAATGAGTTGTGTTGTGCTTAAATGAATGCTGCTGTTTTATTGAGGTGAGTACATGAGAATGAGAAGAGTAAACGATAATATTTTCCTGGTGGTTCTTTCACTTGTTTCTGTTTTTGCTTCAATAAAGTAAAAAAGCACTGAAATAACGAGGTTTTCCTACAGGACATGCTCCATAGTGACAGATGACTGTAAGAAAAACTACTGTTGTTGGATTCTTAAACCTTAAAACAGAGCAGTCTCATTGCTAAAGCCCAAACCTTGCTCCAGACTCATGAAAATATTCAGATCCTGAGAAAATTAATCACCGACAAAACATGAAACAAGTGTGAACATTTCTTCCTGTGGTTTAAACTCATGATCTGCTTCGGTACAGCATGAACCCCCCCAAAAATGTGTGTGTTCACACATGGTTAAAGTGAGCGTGCCAAAACAGCACTCTGCAGATGAACAGAAGAGAGAGAGGGGCAGTGGGAAGGCACTGAGGCCCCAGGGTCCTGCTAAAATTACACACCACTGCAGGCTCCTCGTGCTTAACGCTTTGTACGCACAATGTCATGCTCATAAACACCCACAGTGATGGCGGCCGTTGCAGCCCGCTCACTCTGTTGCTGTGGCACATGTGCATAAAGCCGTCCCTCTTGTCCAGTTATCTACCCCTCTGTCTCTTTTCCACTGCTGTCCTATTTGGGCACGTGTCACAAAGACAGATGGCAGCCTCCTGACCTCAGGGCAAAACAAACTCACCATAACCAGCAGAGAAAAATCTCAGCAAACTCCAGTAGTGAATGATGGAGGGAATACTTTTAACCACTAAGCTGCTGTTGCATGCATTGGATCCTTACTTGATTGTTGTCAAACACAGCAACAACATGTCCGACTCAAACATGTGAGTTCTGGAACTAATCACCAAAGGGTCAGAGGACAACAGGAAGTCAGGTTCAGGCCAGCGACCGCACAAATTCCTGTTTTTCAGTTACTGGTTAACGCTGTGCCTCTCTATCTCCACCCTCTTCCATTTTCCTCTTCATCACATCCCCTCTCTCTCTCCTTCTGTCATCCTGTTCTTCTCTTCCAGCCACTCCACTGAGCCAAGTCTGCAAGACCCCATTTCATCTGGAGGTCTCCTCCTCTCCATCTGTTACATACTTGTTTCCTCCTTCCTGTTTCCAGTTCAGCTGTTTACTTTTCTCCTCTAAATTTCTGCCGCCTCTACTCTTTCCTCCACAGGAAAGTGCTCAGTCACTTACGTTTGTGACAGTAACTATGATTTATGAGTAAAACTCGCCTAGCAGCGCTCCAAAATGTACCTCGCCATGTGGAGAGAAGGATCCGCCATCTTTAGTGTTGAATGTCAGAACATTAAAATAACCCTTTCAGTTATTTAAATAATTAAAAAAAAGCTTATTTATCTACAATAACACCTAAGATTTGTGTTTATCCCAAAAGTGGAACGCTTTCTGCCCTCACCTCATTGGCTGGGCTCATGAGCTGCTTCCTGCTGAGGGTCATGTTGAGCGTGTTGTTGTGACTCAGCATGGGTGTCTTCATAAACACAAAGTCACTTCTGCTTGATATGGTGGAGTAGCAGGGCCTGTAGGTGCGTGTGTGAGGGTCCTGAGGACCACCCACCACCTCCATGTATCGTATGGGTCCATCAGTGTTGAGCTGCAGGTGCAGGTCTTTGCTGGGCCTCTGGTGGTAGCGACTGGACCTGTGGCGACCGTAGCAGCAGCAGCACTCAGAGCCCCCCAGCACTGGGTCACGGTGCCTCAAGCAGCGCACCATGAAGACCACAAAAGTGATGAATGCCACACCTGACACGCAGGCAAGTGAGATGATCAGGTACAGCGTGATGTCCTGCAGCCCAGTGCGGTGATTGCGGCGGGGGCTTTCAGGAGCATCTATGGCTGCACCTTTCTCATCCACAGTTATTGTTATGTTCACAGAGCAGGATTTTGGTGGATCACCATTATCCTGGATGATGACTGTTAAATCGTAAGTCGAGCCCCCTTCCTCTTCAGCCAACTTGCGGGCTGTTTGGAGCTCCCCGGTGCGGGCCCCGATGCGGAACATGCCAGCGTTTGGCCCAGGGGCGATGGAGTAGAACAACAAAGCATTGTGCCCGCTGTCTGCATCCACCGCCACCAGCTTATTTATGAGAAGCCCCGGTCTGGCAGACGGGGGCACACTGAGCTGCAACCTTTTGTCTTTAGGGTGGGAGGGATGAACAAGTGCCGGCGCATTGTCATTAGCATCCACCACAAACACGTGCACCATGACGTTTGCTGTCCGTGGGGGCACCCCAGCATCCCGGGCCTGCACCTCGACACGAAACGCATTAAGCTGTTCATGATCCAGAGAGCGCATGCTGTAGATGTGGCCGGTGTCTGGGTTTATATACACATAAGATGATATGGGTGAGCCCTGGACCATGCTGGGAAGGATGGAGTAGGAGACGTGTGCATTTTCTCCCAGGTCCGGGTCTGTGGCAGAAACGGCAGTGATGGGGGAGCTCGGGGCATTATTTTCAGGGATGTCCACAGAGTAGGACGGCTGGGAGAAGGTGGGAGGGTTGTCATTTACATCAGAGAGCTTCACCACAAAGGTGATTTGGGATGAAAGCGGCGGGGAGCCACCATCAGTGGCCTTGACAACCATTGTGTACTCTGGAACAGTCTCTCGGTCCAAGCCACCAGATGTGGTCAGTTTATAATGCATCCCAAAATCTGAAATGAGCTGAAGAGGTACACCTGGTGGGATGGTTAACTTCACCTGGCCGTTCACACCAGAATCCAGGTCTCTGGCACTTATGA